CTATATAAAACTATATTAAGCTCAGACTGGAAGACAAAAAATACCATAGATAGGAGACTTCAGCAGCAGAAAGGGATTTCTCACAGTTCGAGGGGCTGGAAGTTCAAGACCAGGGTGTTGGCAGGAATGGTTTCTGCTAAGCAGTCTAATGTGTAGCCTGCCTCCTGCTATGCGCTCACATCCACAGGGTCTGTCTCTCTTATGGGCACTAGTCAGATTGTATGGGAGCTCATCTTCAGGAGCTAATTTAATCTTAATTACCTCTCTGAAGGCCCTGTCTCTGATCCCAGTAATCATCTTGGCGGTTAGGGCTGCAACACAGGGATCTGGGGGCCTGGGGTGGGGTGTGTATGGTGGCCGGGGGCACAGTTCGGTTCCTTAACCAAGACCCTTGATATTCCTGAGACTGGGATTGTAGGGACCTTCTGGGCAACACTCCTATTCCTGCTGTTTGTTTCCATGCTGTTCTCAACCTTGAGTTCCCAGATTGGTCCTCCCTGTTCTCATCCCCCGCCAGCCTTCACTTCACCGTCCCCCGCACCCCCAAGGACTGGTCTTGTTTCAAATATTCCACCACCCAGGCCCCTCTTTTGTGTGTTTGTGGACCGGGGCCACTATAACAAAGTCCACAAGCTTGGCAGCTTTAAACGACTGGAATGGATTCTCACAGCTCTGGATGCTGGAAGCCTAAAATCAGGGTGTCAGCAGGACTCCACTCTGATCCCCCACGTCCCCCATAAAGGAGTCCTTCCTTGGCCTCTTCCTCTTAACTTACGGTGGTTGGCTGGCCATCTTTGGCAGCATTGGCATTCTTTGGCTGCAGGTGGATCTCTCCGCCCCTGATTCCATCACATGGCCTTCCTGCACGGCTGTCTTCACGGGGCCATCTTCATATAAGGACACTTCCTTACTCAAGTTTGGCCTTACCTTAATTAATTATATCTGACATGACCCTGTATCCAAATAAGGTCACATTCTGAGGGACTGGGGATTAGGACCTCAACATTTTTTTTTTTTTTTTTTTTTGGAGGGGACATGAGTCAACCCATAACATTCTCTAAGGAGATTTTCTCTTCTGCCTTGACTGGTCACTGTGGTCCCTCCCCAGCAGACCTCCTGGGAGAAGGGCCCCAGAGCCCCTGGGCCATGAGGGTCAGGACATTGATGTTGATCTTATCAAATTTGATGCCTTCATCACTGAGTCCAAAAGTGGTGAGGGTGAGGGTGGGTGGCGCGTCTGTGATGTGATGGTCACTTGACCGCTGAATGAATGTGCTTCAGCCCAGTCTGACATGGTTGATGGCATGACGTTTGCTTTTATTTGTGCTGCTCATGCTCAGCGGCAGAGGAACAGACTGTGGCGAGCTGTGCACCTGCTGGTGTCCTTTTCTGGTTGTGCTTGTGAATGAGGAAGTTTGGAGCAGGCTCAGGAAATCCTCCCCCCAGGTCCCAGCCTCCCCTAACCGCCCCCACCACAGCCATCAGCTTCACACACCTGTAAGGGCAAAGTCCTGACCTCTAAGGGGAAGGAGAAGCAAAATGAGGTCTGGGCTTCAGAACATGGGGACCAGGGTCTTGAAGGTTCTTGTTCTCCCTGAGTCTCTCCATGTCATGCCACGTGGGCCACGTTCCTCTCCAGTCACTGCTCCTGACGATCAATTCAAATGACTGGTTCCTGTCTTGAGGCCCTGCCAGCCATGCTGCTCTAAACAGCTGGGGCAGAGAGTTGGGGGGAGGTTTTTATCCTGAGCTCCTCGACTTATCTATGTGCTACCACCTGGTATACTTCCTGGCACATAGTAGGTGCTCAGTAAATGCTTACAGAATGCAGAGGGGGAGCAAGCACTAGCACAGGGGGCCAGATGCCCCTCCTTGCAGGGAAGGCAGAGGGACTCCACAGACAGGGCCAGGCATTAATGGGATTCCCAGGCTCTGTGCTATGGGTCCCACATCACCCCACATGAATTTGCCGGGTTCCGTGGATGTGACTCATAAAGAGACCCGTTGGCAGGTGTCCCGGAGCATCTGAGCCCTGTGAGGCTAGAGTAGTAATCCATCTCTTACAGCCTCTGTTCACTGAGCACTTCCTATGTGCCCAGACCACTGAATCCTCATGATGGGACAGTCCTGGGAAGGAGAAACCGTTCTCCCCATTTCACAGGTGACAAAACTGTGGGAAATGCAAGCCAGCCTACTAAGAGGTAGGGCCAACATTTTAAATAGGAGTCTTTGGACCCATGTGTTTTGAGGAACCCACCACCGTTTGAGTGGTTTATGCCCCAATGCCCACTGGGATGTTACTGTACCAGCCTCTGTCGTCATGTGTAGCTTGTAACCAGGAGAGAGGGAGAGAAAACAGGAAGTGGTTGAAGGAGGGTACAGGAGAGGGTGTGGACCCTTGGAGGGGTTTGCACGGAAGCTCTCACTTGCATTCCCAGACTGACAGGCTGCCAGCAACGGCCTGGGTTTCCGGAAAGTGTGCGTCTAGGTTGGCAAAGCTGCTCCCAGGTCCCTCCAGCTCCCCTGCTTCAAGCAGCTTGCACCGTCAGCCCAGCCCTCTGCCTCTCTCATACTGGACTGGATATTTAACTGTGATCCCCTGTCCCAAGAAACTCAGCAGTGAGGGCCCCTCTCTCTCAGGAGTGGGAAGGGCTCCTTCCTTCCTGCTCACTGGGACCACACAGCCTAATACCAAGAATATGAAGGATCCATCTCCATGGGGTTGAGATGGCTGCTCTCCTTCTGTTGAGGACTGAGCTGGAGGAAATGAGATTTGCCTGGAGCTTGCCTGATCCAGGTTAGACCCAGTTTACCAAGCATGTTCCGTAGACCTTTAATATCATAGCAGACTAGATAGAAATAATGTTGCATTATTAGAAGGGTCCAGGGACAAATATGCATTGGAAATGTTTAAGCAAACCAAGATTAAATTTATTTCTTGGTTGCAGGACTTAGGAGAGCATTGAAGCACACCACTGTGTAGTTAAAATATTTAAAAGGCTGACAGCAGGCTGCTCTTCCCAAGCTTTCCCAGGCTGATTTCTAAATCTACAACAAAGATTAATCTCTGTGAATTTTACTTGATATCTTGCACGGTACTTTGAGAGCAAAGGCCAATGTGCTGGCCCCCAGAAAAGAGCAGCTAATCACCAGGATTTACAGACCACTTGCTAAAAGTTGGCCTCCCCGGGAGGCTGGCACTGTGAATGATGAACCTGGGCAGAAAGATGAGGCGGGGGATGGCCACTGGCCACCAGTGCTCTTGCTTTTCCATTCCATACTGGTCGGAAACCCTGAGCCCCAGAAAAGTTTGCCCCTGCCACCTCACACACGCTGCGCAGGCCTGCTGGTGGTGGACCCGACCACATAGCCATGCATGTGGACAGTGGTTGCATGCACAAGGATGCCACGAACTAGAAAACTCTGGCTGATTGTGTCTTTCAGTGGAGGAGTTGAATCCACTGCCTGTTGGTGACTGTCCCAACGTATCACAGCTTGGAGACCAATGTGGAAATAATAGACATGTCCTGCCCTCAGGGGGGGTCAGCTAGGTCATCACCAGAATTTTTTTTAAGATTATTTATTTATTTATTCATAGACACACACGGGGGGGGGGCAGAGACATAAGCAGAAGAGAGAAGCAGGCTCCATGCAGGGAGCCCAACATGAGACTTGATCCCAAGTCTCCAGGATCATGCTCAGTGGGCTGAAGGCAGCGCTAAACCGCTAAGCCACCCGGGCTGCCCCATCACCAGAATTTTTATCTCAACTAGGTTATTGGGATGAATATCTAGAATGATCTATATCTAGAAGATCTAATCCAAGGAGGGCAAATCTGTGCCATTTCTGCCACCGCTGCCCTCTCCTGTACACTTGGCAGACGTCACTAATCAATCACAGCACGCCTTTCTGCTGGGCTCAGATGCAGTCTCGGGGCATCAGAGTTGCCACTTGATGGGGGCACAGGTAACCATCCCTGATTCATCACACCCCTCCTTTCAGAGAAGAAAGAACTCAGGCCCAGTGGGGAAGGTAAACTCTCCCAAGTTAGATTCCTTTCTTAGAGGCAGAGGTGGGTTTAGTCCTAAGGCCTTGGAAGCTTCCAAAAACCCAGTCATTTGAAGTCTTGGCTGTAGCTGGTGATTGTCCATAAGGCCCTTGCAGAGGTTTCCTTTTCAGGCAGGAAATTTAGAAAATGCAGAAAGATTCTGTTCTTAAGACCCAGGGTATGAGCCTGTTTGGTAATCTGCCTGCTTGGAGAAACACCATCCATCTTCCAAGGAACGGCTTCTCCTCGAGGCCAGAATGCTACCACCAACCACGTAACAGCTGGGCTGGAAGGCCCCGGGACCTTCAGGAAATATAGTGTGTGTGTACGTATGGTACTAGGCCGGGGAGCAAGAAGGGCTGTTCTTGGAGCAGTTTGTAAAACTTTCTGTGGTTCAATCTGGACATCTTGAAGTTACAGAATGCTGAATATGGAGGGAAGGAAAAGGAACCTGACTCCAGTTGCTTTGGATTTCTTCCCTGCAAAGAAGGCGCAAAATCAAATTTTCATCCAGATGGAATTCCCTGGGGTCCTAGTGGACCACCAGCTCTACTCCTGAGCTTTGAAATGCCCCTAGGAACCAGCTTGGTGGCTAAGAGTACTCTCCGTCTGCTGGCTCTTCACTTCCTTCCTCCCCTTATCCACCACCACCACCACCTCCTGCCAGATAACATCCCCCCCCCCACCCCAGCCGTGAGCTGAGGAGAAAATCACACAATAGTAGAGACGAAAAATAGCTGCCATGTATTCAGCTTAAATTAGCTCAGAAGAAAGGCTCCCTCCCTCCATTGAGCGGGCAGCAATTGTTTATGCCAACGTGCTATTTGCATCGTGCCTTCTTAGATTTGAAAGTCTAATGATTAAAAGCAAATCTTAGTTTTTCTTTTTCACCACTTAAGAGGGGAAAAAAAAAAAAAACAACAACCCACCAGCTTGGCTAGTTCTTCTTGTTTAAAAATACCCCGACTTCCAGAGCTAGAGTGAGGATTTTGGAAAGCCTGGTGCTAGGATAGGAGGCAGACAATAGGCCTTTCTGGAGTGGTAAGTGATGAGGTGCTGAAGGTGGGGGAGGGGCCTTTGCGTCCTCACTCAGATGCCGACGTCTATCTGTCTAGGTGGGTTCGGAATGCAGTGGGCTTATTTCATCATCAGCTGTATTTCATGGGTTATTTATTGAGCATCTACTATATCTTGGACACTGGGCATTCAGCGATGAGTGAAACAAAGTCATTTTGACCTTAGAGTCCAGCAGGGGAGATGGATAAGGAGCCACCCAGCAATATATGAATCACAACTCATGGAGCCCTGGGGATGGAAAACCAACAGGGGGCCAGTAACAGGAGATGGGGGGGCACCCACTGTGGAGGAAGCAGGTGCAAAAGTCTTTCTGAGGAGGTGACATTTGAGTTGAGATCTCAAGGAGGAGAAAGAGGAAGGGATTATCATTCTAGGCCAGGGTCCCTCAAACATGGCACTGGTGATGCTTGGGACCATTTGTTGTGGTGGAGGGACAGTCCTGTGCATTGCAGAATGTTGAGCAGCATCCCTGGTCTCTACACACTAGATGCTGGTGGCACACTCCCTTTCTTTCACCCCCAAGTTGTGACAACCAAAGATGTTTCCAGACATTGCCATATGTCCTCCAGGTGGGGACGACGGAGGGGGGCACCAGGTGGGGAGGTATAGAATCACCACCATTCTAGACAATAGAAGCAGCAAACACAAAGACCCCAGGGGACCGGTGAGCAGGGTGGACAAGGGATGAGCTGTGCAGGGGGCCGGAGAGTTGGAGCATCCAGGCTGGGGAAGGTCTCGAAGGTCTTCCGAGGGCAGTGGCAAAGCCCTGGGTGGGCAGGCGAGGAGGGGACAGTTTCAGGAATGCCGTGTCACTATCTGATCTTCACTGGTTTGAGCCAAGGCATGAGGTCTTGAGTAGGCTGTCTCCTGGCCAGATCACTAGGGTCCAGGTCCAGCCTGCTGCCATCTGCAGCCTTGCAGAGAAAAAGGAAATCAGACAGAGAGAGATGGGAAATCTCAAGAAGGAAGATTCTTGAGTGACAATGACACAGAAATTGGTTTTAAAAGTAATATTTAGCATCTTTAGAGATTTGAAGGCTGCCTAGGGAAGGAGGACGTTGACTGGCCATTCTCTATCTATATAGACAAGGCGTGACACCGCAGCTCACGGGGGTAGGAAGTGACCCTCAGGCTCTCCTGGTCACATCCTCCCCTTCCTCCCATGGTGGTCCACTCCATCCTCCCATGGTCCTTCTAGGAAGCAGTTTCTCCCTCGACCTTGGCCTCAGGCAACCCTAACGCTGCTCTCTGGAGCCACTCAGGGAAGTCCCCTCTGTCTTCCTCAGAGGAGAGTCCCCAGGTTCGCCAACCTCCTTCCGATCCCCTACTTTACTATTGAGGAGAGAGTTAACAGGGCTGTCTCTGGTGGAGACGATATAGTAAAATGGATGGTATGGATGGGAGGTGGCAGTTGGATCCCATCCCACGTGGCTGATGTGGGCACAGTGGCAGGCAGTGGGTGTGGATGAGCTCTGTGGGGCCTATGGCTCTACCCCTAGAATCCGATCCCACGGACTCCAGCAGTCCCAGGACTGGGTGGCAGGGCAGCCAGGCATGCAAAGGATGGGGGCTGGGAAAACCATTTTTGGAAGCTGGGGATACTCAGCCAAGCACCTTCCAAGAAGGATGCAGAGTCAATTGGGGTCCTGTTCCTTGGGGGGGCCGACCTCTCCCCACCCCAGCCCTGCCCGACTTGGGGCAGCGGCAGCTTAAGTGTGTCTTGGACAATTAATGCAATGCATTGGTCATCCAAGATTGTAGCCATTTCCCTTTGTTTATTTTTCTATCTGTGTTGCTAATAATAATAATAATATTAATAATAAAATGGGTACTTATGAACTCGTGTAAGTTCAAGTAACTGCTATGTAGCTACAGTGTAGACACCAGGCTACCCTCATGGACTGGTCCAGCCGCAGCAGGGGCTCCCACCCTGGCCCGCTGGCTTTCCGACCAGCCTCCTAGGGAGCGCTGAGCAGCACCCTGCAAACCCCGGGCAGCCAGCGGGGCAGTGCCTGGCGGGAGCGGGCAGTAACAGGGGGCCCGGCCCCAGCACAACTGTGAGATGCACAAAGTCTTTTCTGGCTCCTTCCTCCCCCTGATAAGGCACCCCTTCCCTGGGGCCCCCGTGCTCCCTGCCCCAGGGAGTGCTGTGGGCTATTCCTCTCCCAGCCCGTGCACACCTCCCAAGCTTGCTGTCAGAAATAAATCTGCAGACAGCCCAGGCCTTGGCGCACGCACAGAGGCCACAAGCCCAAAGGGCAGAATGTCGGGCACGCGGTCACCTGAGCGTGGTGGTGGCTTTGAGAGCCTGTGCTCCTCATGGGCCTCCCCACATCGGTCCCACAATCCACACAGTGCTGCTGCCATGCCATGGTCCTCTGGCACCACTGAAACTCCCAACTTTTTTGGCCTATGTGTGGATTTTAAGTGCCACCATTCGAGCTACTTGAAGGGTTCTAGAACAATCTTCCCCGTATTTCTAGTCACACTCACTACATCTTCTGCTGACCCCAGTATCAAACAACCCTTATGCCTTCTTTTCCTGAGACTGCAGGTCAAATATTCATTCAACAAATATTTACTAATTGCCTCCTGCACCCCTGGGAAAATAGGAAAGAAGGGTGGCACCTGCCTTCAAGGAAAACTGAGTCCAGGGGAAGGGACAGACAAGTCCTGAGAGAGGTCCTGAGGTCCCAGAGGAGCACCTGACCCTGGCAAGGCTTCTCAGAGGAGGGGACTTCTGAACATTGACTTGAGATTTGAGTAGAGAGTAGGAGTGGGAAGTAGGGAACAGTGTGCTGGGTAGAGGAACGTAGAGGCAAGATCATGATTTGTTGAAAGCCTGACACTGGGCATTTGTTCTGTTCTCACCTACTGTCCCCCAAGCATGGCATCAGGTCTTGGGAGACCCCCCATTCCCAAACAGGAGGTGTCCTGGCTCAGGCATAGAGACCTCAACGTCTCCCGCCATGTCTTGGTCCTGGCAGTTGGCCCTCAGGTCCTGGAGAAGATGATGTCCTGGGAGAGTTTTATGCTTGCTAGAGTCAGTTCATGCTTAGGCTGCCTGAGATCCTCTCTGCATCTCTCTCTGGCCCCGTGGGCCTCCCTCCGTGTCCCTGACTGCCTGCACACGCTCTCTCTGGGTCATAGTGCCTCTTCATCGGGTTCTTCAAACCATGGGCATCTCTGCTGTGGATGGGTTAGCAGTCAGCCCTCCCTCTAAAGCATTTTCTTCCCTGTCTTTGCTTCTGCTTCACAACCCTTTCTACCTCCTCTTGTGACCTGTGTCTCTGATCTCTCTGAGGCCCACACAACTGTCTTGCCAGAAAGATATCTCACCCTGGCCTCTTTCCTAGAGAGTCTATGTCACTCTGTGGCATAGGCCACTGGAGTGTTGAGGTCAAGGACATGGAAATTTACTGATGGAAAGACCCTACTCTAAGGGTTTCCAACTAACCATGACAGGTGTGATGGGCAAAATACTGGTTTGTTACAGAGTAGCTGAAGAAGACCTAGGGATCATAGTGGGCCACAAGCCAAGTCTGTAATATAGCATAAAATGTGGGAATGTGTCAACCCTCTTGATGGGATGGTGTCCCACTGTCCTTATAAATGTATGTCAGGGTTTGAAGAATAGGAAACATAGTTCCTTTGCTGACTCTCATGGTATGTGTCTGTGTGGTTGCTGTAAATTATCAGGGCTTGTTTTACCTGCTTCAACTTGACTCAACATGCATTTCTTAAGGCACTCCCTGTTGTGGATAATGACCTCACCATCAATTTCTCAGCGCCAGCAGTTCCCCCAAAGCCTTCCTTGGATTTTTCTTAGCTTCATGCAGCCTGCTAGCACTTAGTATATCCTTAACCCTCAAGATTATTGGAGGGAGTAAATGAAATAATGAATGTCAATAGAATTGCACAATACCTGGCACACAGTAGGTGCTCAGGAAACATGGTTTCTCTTCTCAATAGCCCAACCAAAACATCCCCAGGAATCCCACCTCTAAGGAAATGTTCCTGAAAAAAAATGGAGAATTGGAATAGAGAGGTGGTGGGTATCACCCATTTTCTTAGGTGCTGGTGCATTGGTAGACATGGGGAGGGGGACCCAAGACTCCTAAAGACACCCTCCAGCTGCTGTGGAATCAGCATGCATCAGGGCGAGGCTCAAACTTAGGAAGCTGGAGAGCCTCTGGAAGACCAGTTCCCTCCAAGGCCCCAAGATGGAGGCCAAGGGCATTCACTGAGGCCAGATGAGACTGGTCACACGTGATGAGCACCCTTGTCTATGGCTGGGCCAGGCTGAGAACATCCAAAACTTGGGCCATAGAGTCCTACCCTGAGCTTGTTTCTCTCTCCCTGTGCTTTGATCTTGCACCAGGGTCCACTCCACCAACTTTACCGCATGATTCATCCGGTTGATTACTCTCAAAGTTAGGAAAATTCTCAATTGTAAAAAGGCTTTCTCTCTATGTAAATTATGCTGTTACCTTTTCTATACAAAAAGTATATATATCTATAAATATTATACATATATATTATATATATATATATATAAAGATGAATTCTTGTACAGACCAAATGGACCAATGGTCCAAATTGTTTTCTCTGTGTTTGTGCTGACTGTTGCAGAATGAGTTAATGTAAGAAGTTGGTTTCATGTTTTCCTTTTGGGGCCACTTCTTTTCTTCCCTTTTTATCTTTGTCTGTCTCGGTCTCTGTCTCTCTCTTACTCATTGCCAATGTCTCATTGCTGAGAAAGAACAATCGATTCAGATGCCATCCAGGAAAAGAAGGCCAGATGGATGGAGGGTCCACTGTGTATATTTGTACAGAATCATTTATAAAGTTTTCTACACTTCTCAAAAAAGTATTTCTAACTTGGGCTGTTGGACAGGTTGTGAGCCTCTGAGCCGGCAAGCCTATTGTTTCTTGTGTTTAGTGCAATGTTTAGTGAGAATCCAATTGTCTGAATTATTTATGCCAATAAAGAATTTGAGAATTACTGCATCACACTGCCGCCAAAACAGGTGTGAATTCTGTTGTTTGCTGTACAGAAGAAAGAAATCCTGAGATGTGACGGTGGCCAGTATATTAGCCAGTTCTTGCTGCAATAATGGGGCATAACAAATTTTCCCAAAATGCCATTGCTTACAACAACTAGCATTTATTCTCATGCTCCTGGGTCTGTAGGTTTTGGCTTGCTTAACCAAGTCTCCTATTTAGGCTTCTGGTCAACTTCAAGTTTGCTTTACACGTCTCTCTGTTTCAGCACCCCTGCTGAAGGAAAACCTTCCTGGACCATGCTCGTCCTATAGCCGATCACCAGATCAGAAGAGCCAAGCCAAACTGCACAAATACATTCAAAGCATCTTCTCAAATTACATCCGCTAATATTTCAGTGGCCAAAGCAAATCATATGACCCAGTCTTTCTTTTTTTTTAATTTATTGAGAGAGAGAGAGAGGGAGAGCGAGAGCAGGCGTGCATGCATGCTCGAGCAGGGGGAGGGGCAGAAGGAGAAAGAGACTCTCAAGCAGGCTCTGCACTGAGCGCAGAGCCCAACGTGGGGCTCGATCTATGTCCCTGAGATTATGACCTGAGCTGAAATCAAGAGTCAGAAGTTTAACCTACTGAGCCACTCAAGTGTCCCTACCCAGCCTTTCAACAAGATGGGGCTATAAACTTCACTCAGACCAGGAAGGAAAGGAAAGTGAGTGTTTGCTGAACAGTAATGTGGCTTATCACTGCCTGGCCAAGTATTGTTCCAGCCAGTCAGCCACAGGTGAGTTTTCTCCCTAGAGGTAATACGGTATGATTAATAAGTCCACACACATACACACACACACTCTACATACCCACACGCAGATACAGCTCTGCATATTGACCACCTGCTCTGTGCCCAAATCAGAAAATACTTAGCATTGTCTCACTAATCCTTACAACTATCCAATTCCACTTGACAGACAGGGAAGCTGGGTGCAAGGGGATGAAATAATTGACCCAACCCAAGGCAAGAACCTGAAGCTCATGCTTTCTTGAGTATACACACAGCACAGCGGCTCCTAGGTACCTTGGATTGCTGAAGCCACTTTACAAAGTGCTTCTGTGAAACAAGATCTCTTCTAACGTGGAAAGTCAGTCAGGGAGGCAGGAAATATTCCACTTTCACGAGCACGATTTCTTCCCACTCACCATGATCAAATAGGGAGGTGGGTTTGAGGGGCCCCATTTTTACAGATGGAGAAACTGAGGCTCCATAAAGTGAAAGTCTCATGCAGCGTCTGAACCTCAGTCCTGGGCTATACTACCCAGGCCAGTGGTATGACCTGGCTGGACGGGGATGTCGACTTTCAGAGCCCTGATTTATTTGTGGAATTGAGATAATGGCTCTCACTTCAAAGAGCTGTACTCAGAATTGAAAGCAGGTAAAAAAAAAAAAAAAAAACGAAACAAAAAAAACACTTAACACCATTCTTGGCGCCAACAACCAATAGATATTACTTATTTCAAGCCCAGACCTGACATTTAGCTCTGGGTCAGTATTGACTTGGGGAGGAGGTGTGGGACAAAACCAGAATCTTCCATCCTCATTGCTCCTATTTCAAGCAAAGAGAAGGGGCCAGAGTCTTCCCTGGGGCCTGGAACTAATTGACTGTCCCGGTTCTGGCTTGTGGTCCTCTGTGGCCGCAGGGCCACCATTAATCAGGCACAGCAGGTGTTGAACTGAGGGAAGGAGGCCTTGCAAATCAGCGGAACTGAACAGCTCATTAACCTCCGTGCATGAGCTGCAGGGGAAGTACCTGGGAGCCAGCAGCCAGGCACAGAGGAGGCCACCCAGTTGCCCAGGTGGCAGAGACAAGGGCTCTCAGTCCCTTCTGGCCCCTGGGTTCCTCCTCACGTTTGCCCCACTTGAGACCCTCCGGAGCCCACCCCCATCTCCCGCCTCCTATCAGCTTGTTCCCAGACACCATGCTAAGCAAGTTATATTTGTTATCGCATTTAATCATCATCATTGTCCTGTGAAGCAAATACTACATTGTCCCTCTCATACAGATGAAGCAAACTGAGGCTCAGAGAGGCTGACTTACCCTAAACAGTACGATGCTAAGCATGGAGCCAGGCTCCAAATCCTGACAATAGGAACCTGGGACCCACGTTCTGATTGGCAGTGCTGGATGGACTCCATGCAAGACAGTTTGCCATGAATTCAAGCAATTGCCATGAATCATTGGTTCTCACCCAGGGGCAGTGTGGCCCCCCGGGGCATTTGGCAGTGCCCCACTGGAGAATGCTACTGACATCTAATAGCAAGAAACCAGGGATGCTGCTCAACATCCTGTAATGCACAGGACAGACCCCCAGCCCCCCACCATCTCACATACACAGATAATGCAGAATTATCCAGCCCAAAAGGTCAGTGTTCCCAAGGTCAAGAAACCCTGCTACAAATAGTGCTAGGCTTAGAGCGGGGAGGGGAGCTCTGGCTGAGTCTAAGGGGGAGCAGTTAGGAAAGCTTTCCTGGAAAAAGGCAATTCAACTTTCGTGTTATAGATGGGGCAAGAGAAGCCATATGAATTGCTAAGGGACAGATTCAAACTCAGGTATTAGTCACTGAACACCTTCCACATGGTGGGCATGGTGCCACGGAGGCCACCAATCCATGCATTAAAAATCATTCACTCAGGGGATCCCTGGGTGGCTCAACGGTTTGGTGCCTGCCTTTGGCCCATGGGCGTGATCCTGGAGTCCCAGGATCGAGTCCTGCGTCGGGCTCCTTGCATGGAGTCTGCTTCTCCCTCCTCCTGTGTCTCCTCCTCTCTCTCTCTCTCTCTCTCTCTCTCTCCCTCTCTCTATCATAAATAAATAAATAAACAAATAGATAAATAAATAAATAATATAAAAATCATTCATTCAGACATTAACCTACTACATCAGAGTCCTCGGAGGTAGGAAGTCATCCCCGTGCTGTGTGGTGGACGTTGACCCCAGGAGGTGGCCGGTTGTGTGTGCTCAAGCTTGTACAGTCAGAGGGGCCCAGCTGAGAGTGGAGCCTGGTTCTCCCATCATCTGCCATGAGAACAACAAACCGAGAATGTCGATGTCCGGTGTCTGTCAGCCCCCAAGCAGGTGGGCCTAAGCCCGGAGCACCCTGATGCACAGGCAGGTTGGTGACCCCGGGATCTGCACTTGAGTCTGGGCTGTAAACCACTTAGCAGCTCTGCGACCTTGGGGCAGTCGCTTCGTTTCTTAGAGCCTCCACTGCTCATCTGTCAAATGGACCTGAGGACAGAGTCTCTGTCCTGAGATCATTATGAAGACTCGGTGACATGGCATAAATTACTGAAAGTGTTTAGCACAGGGTAGGCCCTCGGGGCATGTTTTAGTTTGGGACATTCTGGGAAACAGGGTTGGGACTTGGATGGGGGACACGTGTGGAAGGCCTTGATTTGCCAGGATGGGGTTTTGGGGGCTAGGCCTGATGAGCGGTGGGAATAAGGGGTCACCGGTCAGTTGATGTGAAGTGCTCGGACACGTGAATCTCACGGAGCACTGGGGTGAGCTTCCCTCCTTCCTGAAACAAACATCCTGGGGGAAGGATGCCCCTTAGCCTTTCCTACATCTTCCAAGATGCTCCAAGAGGTCCAGGCAGCACTGAATTGGGGGTGAAGAAGGTATGGCCTGTGCAGGTGGCTCAGGCTCCAGCAGGAGTGGAGTTGGGCAAAGGAGGGGCTCTGGCCTCTGACTTGCACTCCCTTCTCATCGGCCTACAGGTCCCAGGGGTGTACCGCCCTCAAGCCCCTGCTTTACCTTCCAGAGCTGACCTCCCCATGTTCACATGAGCGTGCACACACATACACACATTCTTGCATTCCCCCACTTGCAGACTGTTCAAATTCCCACTGCTCGTCCACACGCGCACACACACACCCCTTGATCCCCACACTCCCTCACCCCTACTCCCTCACCCCACTCTTTCCCACTGGTTGCAGTTGGGTACCTGCAAGCCTTATTTGACTTCCGCATTTGTGTTGCTAAGACATGCCTGAAGGTCACTGCTTGTCTGAACAATCCACGATCATTGCTCCAGGAGTGGGCTGCTGGTTCTGGGGCTGCAGGCAGGCTGGCTGGCGCTTGCCTGCCTCCAGCTCTATGCCATGTCATAAATGTCCCTGCCTTCCAAGGGCTCTAAATCACCACAATGTCTGGCAATTGGGTCATTGTTTCCCCTGCACCATTTATAACTCAGGAGGCTCTCCTGGGACTTTACGCACAAGTGAAACGCCACCTCAGCCACTAATGAGCCAAACAAGGAAAAACACATTCTTAGGCCCCAGAAAGAGTGACTCTAGCCAGTATATGGAATTTTCCTGAAATATGTTCATGGCAGGTTAATGAGTGTGATCAAACGGCAAAAGCGCATTGGGTGAAACTAAGTTAAGTACATTTCTTTGCTACGGGACTTGTCAGAGTCTTTACTATGCTCACGCACCTTATAAACTCTCTCAGAGGGAGTTAGAGTATATAAGTTTCCCAACTTAGTTGTCCCCAGAGCCTTTTATTCACTGTATCTTAGAGGATTCGTGTTGCATGGAATGCTTTGAGAAACATTGCTCTCATCCATGGAAAAAAATCAAAGTATATTCTTAGACCTTGATGGTTCACATGTCCTGGACCATTAAATGAAAAGGAAAAAAAAAAAAAACAACTTATGGAAGCTGATATATTGTCTTAGCTTTTTATTTTACCAAGTAGAGACATTAAAAAAAAAAAAAAGCAAAACCCAGATAGGATCTCTGCAACTTACTATCATACTGTTTTATAAAAGAAAATCTAGCTTATTACCAAAAAAAAACATTTTTAAAAATTCAGTGACCAGAATTTGAGGAATAAAAATGCAAATACATTAGTATTTTCCCTCGTTTCTCTGAGGCCTGGTGAGCACTTTGACATGGACCAGCAGGAGTCCATATATAAGTGTTTGGAAGAGGTGTGGCTGGGCGGGGCACCAGCTTCAAGTTAAAGCTCCAGGCTCTGGAGTTGGAAGCCAGGGTTTTGAACCCAGCTCTTCCACTCAAGGACCTTGGCCCTGAGTCATTGCCATTATGTGTGTCCCTTGGCCTCCTCTGTGTGTCTTTGCTCCTGTGACTTCTTGGGAAGACTGTCCTTGGGGTGCTGGAGGTGCTTCCACATGCCTCCAGGGCAGCCCTTAGTGGGGACTGACGAACCCTTGAAGGGGGATGACCCCTAGATGCACCTAACACTCCAAGCCCCTTCCCCGCCCTCCCTGCAGTGTCACAGCAAGGCTAGGACCTCCCCTAATATAGCTCTTTGCTTGCCCCCTCCCTTACTCATCTCCCCTGGGAACACTTCCTTAATAAATGGGCTGCACCTGGCTCCTCATCTTAGGCTCTGGGAGAACCCAGACTAAGACCTTATGCAATTTCCGAGCTTCGGTGTCCTCGGGCGCCATGTGGGCATATGCACCCTAAAAATCTCACCTACCTTCCTAGGTGGGAGTGAAGACTACAGGCAGAGATCTATGTGAATCATTTAGCAGGGAGCCTAGCTCCTAATCAAGAAAGGCTGACACTTGCCATTGTTCTTACATGTTATGGGAACCTATGTGCCTTTGGGGTTTGTAGCAGCTTTCCCTAGTCTAGAAAACCAAGAGATCAGTTTGGTACAAGAAAGACTGGCGATGGAGTCACGACCTACCTGGGATCCCAGCTGGAAGCTGCATATCCAGCCTCCCCAAGCCCCCCTCGCCCTACCCACCAGGGTGACAGGGCCTGGAGCTTGAAGCTCTGGCTCCAAGTCCCCTCTAGCACCCGGCTCCTTCCCCTCTGACTTTTCATTCAGAAAGAGTGGAGCTTCGACACCTCCAACAAAACATCTGAGGATTTTGATCTTTTTTAAAATTTTTCTTCCTCTTTTTTTTTTTTTAATATTAACATCTGATTCCAAACCAGCAGCGTGACTGTGGGGTCTGGCTTGGTGGGGAGGAGGTGGGCAGCAGACCTGCCACGTTCTATCTAGTCCAGCTCCATCCTGGTTCTTTGTTTTGTGTGACACTCTTCAATCCCAATGAGGTAGGGGGTTTTTGGGGGGGTGTTTTTTGTTTTTTTGTTTTGTTTTGTTTTTTAAGAAAGGAAAGTCAGATCTTAAGGGACAACGGCTAGAAGTTCTTCAGGAAACCAGAATTTGCTAATTGCTGATGCCACTTTGACAAGGAGGCAGATGTGAAACACAGCAGGGTGAAATCCCCTGGACACTGACGGGGAGAGGGGTAGATTGATCCGTATCACTCACTGACGCCGTTTGCAATTACTTTATTAAATATGAAATTAAGTCCTTTTAAGGCCCACTTAGCTTTCATTTATAACATATTTGAAATGGTATGCGCCTCCATTGCTGATTTCTCTATCTCAAAGTAAAAATTCAGATCAACGGACTTAATGTTGTTTTTCATTACAGCAGGAGTTGGAAAACTACAGCCCCTTAAGCCTCGTCTGACCTGCCACTTATTTCTGTACAGACTGATCCTTATATTTTAAGTGGTTGGGAAAAATCAGAAGAATACTCCATGGTATATGGAAATTATATGGAATTCAAATTTCAGCATCCATAAATAACATTTTATTGGAACACAGCCATGCCCAAGGTATGGTCTGCGAAGCCAAAAATATTTACTGTCTGTCCCTTTACAGAAATTGTTTGCTGACTCTTGCATTTACAGACGTGTCAGCACTCTCTAGGGAAGGAAGAGACAAGCCTGTTCAGGATGGGACAATGGAAGGTCATCCAGCCACAGTGGATTGGGTTTGGGAAGGTTCTCTCTTTGGCTCTGGTTGCCGGGTGGCTCACCTTGTCTCCTCCCTGCAGGTGCGAGCGTCCCCAGCAGCCCTGTCTAGGACAGCACTGCATGAATCTGCCTGCCCACCACAGCTGATTGGGCCAGGGGGTAGGCATGTGACCCAAGCTGGGCCAATCAGATTTATTTTCCTGGGACTTTAGAATTCTGACCTGGGATTTGCAGGGGCCATTGGGTAGTATTAGAAGCTAAGTCTGTTGTTCAAAGAAGGTCTGAGAACTTTTGCTTGCTGACACCCCCTGAGGAGATGGTTTCTGCTTTTCCTTGATTCCTTGGATTCACCAGATGTTCAATATTCTAATCAATTCTGCCCCTTCCTCTTCTTTTCCTCCAAAGCTCAGCTGGAATCTTTTTCATCACTTGCAAACCAAACAAACCAGAGTGACCTGGTCTCTAGCCCAGAGCTCTGCTCTAGATCCGTATGATACCAAGTCAGGTCTTAATGTCATTTCTCCTTGCAAAGAGGGATTTATTGTGAAACATCCAGAGCCAAGAAGATGGAGACAATTACCCCCTAAGTAAATTAGAAAGATCTGAACAGAGCAAAATATGAGGATTTATTTTTAAATATAAAAGAAAACTGTACAAAATGATTTCTGAGACAATTTCATTAAAGATGCCCTTAAACTAATATTCTATTAGGTAAGTTGTTGAGCCTATTGGTGACCCAATTTTTTCATCGTTGCCAAATGGGGATATAACATGATCTTAAAGGATGAATGTCAACCTGAATAGCCAGGGGAATTTTAAAAAAGAAAACCATATCTGGGGGCATCACAATGCCAGATTTCAGGTCGTACTACACAGCTGTGGTCATCAAGACAGTGCGGTACTGGCACAAAAACAGACACATAGATCAATGGAACAGAATAGAGAACCCAGAAGTGGACCCTGAACTTTATGGTTAACTAATATTCGATAAAGGAGGAAAGACGATCCACTGGAAGAAAGACAGTCTCTTCAATAAATGGTGCTGGGAAAATTGGACATCCACATGCAGAAGAATGAAACTAGACCACTCTCTTGCACCATACACAAAGATAAACTCAAAATGGATACAAGATTCCATCAAAATCCTAGAGGAGAACACAGGCAACACCCTTTTTGAACTTGGCCACAGTAACTTCTTGCAAGATACATCCACGAAAACAAAAGAAACAAAAGCAAAAATGAACTATTGGGACTTCATCAAGATAAGAAGCTTTTGCACAGCAAAGGATACAGTCAACAAAACTCAAAGACAACCTACAGAATGGGAGAAGAGATTTGCAAATGACGTATCAGATAAAGGGCTAGTTTCCAAGATCTATAGATCCAAGAACTTATTAAACTCAACACCAAAGAAACGAACAATCCAATCATGAAATGGGCAAAAGACATGAAGAGAAATCTCACAGAGGAAGACATAGACATGGCCAACATGCACATGAGAAAATGCTCCGCATCACTTGCCATCAGGGAAATACAAATCCAAACCACAATGAGATACCACCTCACACCAGTGAGAATGGGGAAAATTAATAAGGCAGGAAACAACAAATGTTGGAGAGGATGCGGAGAAAAGGGAACCCTCTTACACTGTTGGTGGGAATGGGAACTGGTGCAGCCACTCTGGAAAACTGTGTGGAGTTAAAAATAGACCTGCCCTACGACCCAGCAATTGCACTGTTAGGGATTTACCCCCAAAGATTCAGATGCAATGAAACGCCGGGACACCTGCACCCCGATGTTTCTAGCAGCCATGTCCACAATAGCCAAACTGTGGAAGGAGCCTCAGTGTCCATCGAAAGATGATGGATAAAGAAGATGTGGTCTATGTATACAATGGAATATTACTCAGCCATTAGAAACGACAAATACCCACCATTTGCTTCGACGTGGATGGAACTGGAGGGTATTATGCTGAGTGAAGTAAGTCAATCGGAGAAGGACAAACAGTGTATGTTCTCATTCATTTGGGGAATATGAATAATAGTGAAGGGGAATATAAGGGAAGGGAGAGGAAATGTGTGGGAAATATCAGAAAGGGAGACAGAACATAAAGACTCCTAACTCTGGGAAACGAACTGGGGGTGGTGGAAGGGGAGGAGGGCGGGGGGTGGGGGTGAATGGGTGACGGGCACTGAGGGGGCCACTTGACGGGATGAGCACTGGGTGTTATTCTGTATGTTGGTAAATTGAACACCAATAAAAATTAATTTATTAAAAAAATGAATGTCAAGATCGATGCAAAATTGCTGAGGAGCTATAGAAACATAAAGAGA